GTTTCAAGAAGCTCTCGAAACTTGGCACCAAAACTACACTCCTCCTGACAACACCGAAGAAATGGAAAAAGATTTAGTAAATGCAATACATAGAGCAGCAAATCTCGCCATCCCCAAGAGGAAAACAATTACCCAACAACACAAGGACCATTGGTATTACTGTGATAGGATCAAAGAGCTACATAACAGACTAAATCGTGCACGAAAGAATTTCAGAAGAGATAGAACCGAAGCTAATCTAGGACTTCTTAGAGCTGTCCGAGATCATGTACACGAAGAAACAGCAAATATCAGATAAGAAAAATGGCTCGAGTGGTGTGTCAAGCTAAATCAGCATACATCCTTGGGCGACATCTGGAGGCAGATCAACAAGGCTAAAGGAAAATCGCCTCCTGCTCCGCCGCACCATGTTCATCCAGAGCAAGAAGTAGAAAGGCTAGCAAATCTATTTGCTTCAAGAGCCAGTTCCGCTCAACTTCCTCAAGCAACTCTTGACTCACCAACAAAGACTTCAAGCAGCAAGATGGAAAAAAATAGATGATGCTTTAGCATTACCTGACGAACTAGACCAACCTTTCAATCTGAAAGAACTCAGAAGTGCTACAACGAAAACTAAAAATCCAGCTCCAGGCGAGGACAAAATCACTTACAACATGCTAGCCAAGCTAGGAGAAAAGGGCAAAGAAGCCTTCTTGAGTCTCATCAACAGAGTATGGGTGACAAGAACTCGACCACTCTCTTGGAACAGTGCAATTATAGTTCCCATTACAAAACCTAAAGACCCAGGAAATCCAAGACCCATCTCATTAACAAGCTGTCTGGCCAAAACTGCAGAAAGAATGGCCCTTAATCGAACTGAATGGAAAGCCAATCCACTACACCAAAATATGTTTGCTTACAGAAAAGGTGTTGGAACCACAGAATGCCTTACCTCCCTCCTGGATCAAATCAATGACGAACCTGGAATCCTTATTTTTCTAGACCTTGAAAAAGCCTTCGAGTTAGCCAGTGCTCCAGCTACACTGTGCTGCCTTGTGGAAAAGGAAATCAAAGGACATGCTCTTGCCTTTGCCAAAGGAAGCCTGCTTAACAGAGAAGCTAAAGTCAAATTCCAAAGAAAAACATCCACCTCAATGAGGCTGGAAAATGGAACTCCGCAGGGAGGGATACTAAGCCCCTTCCTCTTCAACTGTCTCATGGAACACTTCATGAAGCTCAAGCTACCAAAAGCTAAACTGCTTAACTACGCAGACGACTTTGTGGTCATCATCAATGGCAAAGGTGCAAGGAACCACGCACAAAAATACCTAGATATTATCAGCAGGGAAGCGGAACGCATAGCAGTGAAAATAAACAGCAATAAAACAAAAGCAATGACCGTTAAAATGAGAACTCAAGACATCAGACTCGCAATACAAGGACAAGAAATTGAGTGGGTTACCTCTTTTCAATACCTAGGAGTCATAATAGACAACCAGTTGAAATTCACTCAAGAAATTGAATATCTTTGGCAATGCTGTAAAGCCAGAAACTCAGCTTTGCGCTCCCTGACCAGTCTGAGAGAGGGTGCATCTCTACCAGTACTCAAAATGTACTACGTTCAAGCAGTTAGGTCACTCATTGACTATGCTGCTCCTGCTCTTACATCCCTCAGTGATAACCAATGGGAGAAACTGGAAGTATCTCAAAATGATGCTCTGAGAACAATGCTTGGAGCACCTATATGGACGCGTAGAGAGAACCTTAGGATGGAAACAAATTTACCAGCATTAGAAAACAGGATGAAACAAAGGATAGCCACCATAACAGCAAAACTTATTGGAACAACTGGCAGACTATCAATCTAAGACAGTATACAGATATACATTCAGAAAAATCTTCAATATAGAGCAAGCTCATGGATGGATAATCTGGTCAAGATTCTAGAGAAAGTGGACCTGAAATGGGCCATTAAAAACAAAGGGGAAGATAGACCATATCAACAGTTTCGGCAGCCTCCTCCATGGGAAGAATCGAATCTAAAGATAATCATTGAAGGATTACCAGTTAAAAAATCAGCATGGGACCCGCAGAGGCTCAAAGAAGTAATAGAGCAACAAATGGAAACTATCTCTAGACCCACAACGACTCACATCTTCACAGACGGATCAGTTGATCAAGAAAGAGGTTCTGCCGGGGCAGCAGTTTACACTAACAACTATGAAGCTTAATGGAGTATGAATAGCAGGTGCTCAACATTGCAAACAGAATAATTTACATGATGTCATCATTCATACAGACTCTAAATCTTCGCTCCAGGCATTGTTATCCAGTCAGCACAGAGATAATATACAACTCCTCACAGAAATTCAACATATAGAAAAAGATGCCCATAATCGAGGGCTGTCAATCACCCTAAATTGGATACCAGGTCACATTGGCATAGATGGTAATGAAAAGGCAGACTCACTAGCAAAAACTGCCACTGCTCTACCTGTTGTACAAGTTCAAATACCTCCAAGTTTCTCACAGATTAAGGAGCAAATCAAGAAGAAAATATTCTCAACTATCAAAAGTCGCCACAGAGCCAAAGTAGCGGAAGGAAGATCCACTGCGATATGGTACGAACAAGCCAATTTTTACTACTCTTTCAAGCCTGGCAAAAAGATATCCAGAGACATTGCAGTAGCCATACACAGACTCAGACTTGGGTACAAGTGCTGCTGGGAGATAATGAACCCAATAGTTAAAGAGTGTCACATCTGTGAAACTGAGGCAGAGGCGCCGCTATTGCACTACTTACTGGAATGTGAAGCTACTGAAACCCTGCGCATCAAACTCAACATTAATCCAACGACAGCAGCTGCATTATATGCACATTCCACCGCGACTACAATGATTAGAAAAGCTGTTGAGGAATGGGACTCACTAGTGAGCATTCTTCATCAACATCCGCCTTCAAGATAATGTTAATAAAACAAGACTAAAACCAGTGCACTAAAACAGAAGTGATAAATAAACAGGGAAAAAGGAGGAAACCTCTCCTCCATTTTAAACTTAGACCCAAACATCACTGAAACAAGGTTATGGCGAATAACCGAACTCAATTACGGGCTCACTATAGTCCGTGCTACATGGACACTTCGTTCTGAGTAGCTAAATCTGAATTTTCCCGCGTTGGTTCCTTAATGTGTTGGCTAAGAAAGCAATCGTCAATTAATTCTAGAAAATCTTCTGCTTCATTATTCCCTGTTCTGTTAGACCAATTTATTCCACTGAAATTAAAGTCACCCATGACACAAATACTGCTAGACCTAAATGCTCTAGATATTTCATCCCATAGGTACTTTGCTTCTATCCTGTTTAAGTTTGGTGGCCTGTATATAATTCATATTATAAGATTATTTGCTCTTTCGTTTAATTCTATCCAAATAGTTTCTGTGTGCTGCTCAGTTTTGATTCCTTCTTTGAGACTACATTTCAAATTGTCCCTAACATATATGGCTACTCCCCCTCCTCGTCTAATATATCTATGTATGTGAAATAGTTTAAATCCTTTTATTTGATATTCAGCAAATAGTTATCTATTTTCTACATTCATCCACGTTTCGGTAAGTGCAATAATATCTATTTATTATTTCTGTACAGACATGAGCATTTAATTCGTTTATTTTGTTTCTTAGAGTTCTACTGTTAGTGTAATATACCCTAAGTTAATTATTATTTTCTTATTACCATGGATAAATTACCTGAAATCCTTGCACTGTATCCATATTTCGCTTCCAGTAGATGAACGACATATAAGATTAAGAAACAAGTAGTGTATTGTGAAGATTAATAATAAACAGAAGCTACCCCATGACTCTGTAATATCTCCATTGGTCAAACTATTATGTATTAGCGATAAGACCTACCATTAATGTATAATGATTTACTGTAAATATATAGCTCTTGAAATAGCACTTTCTCTGTAACTACATGACATTGTAACTATAAGGTGTGAAGGATAGATGAAATTGTTTAAGTAATAATCTAAGATGAGGTCTGATAAAGACCTTTTGTGCCCTCTGTAATGCTTGTTTGCACTACCGCTCACAGGATTGGTATGGGATGTACAATAAACTAACAACAATCAAAATCAAGATGAGTCGTATTTATAATAAATATGTTATATCTGTCTTTACTGTAGAGGACGTTAACATTATGCCTTCAGCCAGACAAGTCTATGTGGTGGGGATGAGGGTAGGTTGACTAGTTTAACAGTTACCAGGGGAGAGTTATTAAACAAATAGTGAAACTGAAGGCAAATAAATCCCCAGGGCCGGATGAAGTGTTTGTCATGGTGCTTAAAGAATGCAAAGAGGAGCTTTGTGAGATATTGTCTACCATATTTAATAAATCATTAGAGTGAGGCAGAGTTCCAGAGTCATGGAAGGTTGCTAATGTGGTACCAATTTTTAAGAAAGGAGATAGATCACTTGCATCAAACTATCGGCCAATTAGCCTAATGTCTCTTGCGGGAAAGTTACTTGACTCGATAATTGCAAATACCTTTCTTCTTCATCTTGAAAAACATAAAATATTAAATGATTCACAACATAGTTTTACAAATGACCGTTCACGTTTAACAAATTTGATATCATATTATTGCAGCATAGTTGAGGCAGTTGACAGTGGTAAGGTTTGTGATGTTGTGTACCTTGACTGTAAACAACATCACAAACCAGTGATGATGATACAGTGTCACATGAAAGACTGATTAAAAAGATACAGGCTCATTGTATTGAGGATACTATATTTAGTTAGATTAGGGCATGCCTATACCAAAGGAAACAAAGAATTAGTTTAATGGGGTTAAATCAGAATAGGAAAATGTTGTAAGCCTCAAAACCTTACATTTGTCTGTATTAAACTGCATCTGCCATTATTTGTGTAATCTGTATCTGCATCTGTGTATTCAAAACAATAATTATAATCATTAATGCAAACTGTTCCACTACCGAATGTTTACCCTTGTTCAGGGAGCGGCTTGGCGCACTTCCCCCTGGGTGAGACCTGGAGGTACTCCTTGGGGGGCTGGTGGGACCTGAGACTGGACTCCGGCTCCCTAAAGCCCACCACCTCCAGCAGGAGGGCCACACTGGAGGGCCTCGCTGCCATCACCAGGGAGTCCCCCTGTCGGCTCAGAGTGGCGCTTAGGGAGACCTTCTTCAGCGACTGGCAGCGGGTGAGTAGTGAAGTTCTTGTGCCCATGACCTAGTCATATTTTACAACTTGTGTCTATGCTCTAATTTTAATTTGCAACTTATATTCATGATCTATTCATAGTTTTCCACTTGTGCCCATGACCAAGTTGTACTTTACCACTTTTGCCCATGACCCAGTTATAGTTTACCACTTGTACCCATGACCCAGATATAGATTACCACTTGTGCCCATGACCAAGTTGTAGCTTACAACTTTTGCCCATGACCCAGTTATAGTTTACCACTTGCGCCCATGACCCATTTATAGTTTACCACTTGCGCCCATGACCCATTTATAGTTTACCACTTGTACCCATGACCCAGTTATAGATTACCACTTGTGCTCATGACCAAGTTGTAGCTTACAACTTTTGCCCATGACACAGTTATAGTTTCCACTTGTGTTCATAACCCAGTTATAGTTTACCACTTGTGCCCATGATCCTGTTATAGTTTACCACCTGTGCCAAGGACCTAGTTGTAGTTTACCACTAAAACCCATGACACAGTTATAGTTTATCAATTGTGCCCATTGTGATATTTTTCTTGAATGATTCAAGCACATTCGTTAACTTTAAATTGAAAGTCTAGATTGGCTTCCAGCGGAAGGGACTGCTTAGGTAACACATTAAGTGTAGTTAGTATTTCATTCCCCACTCTAGAGTCCATAGAAAAATTATGAGGTGCGAGTAAATGCCGAGACCTCAAAAGTTTAAGATCCTTATCACTGAGCCGTCGACCTCCTTCATTGGCTGAAGGTAATTTAACAGGTAGGTCACGGGTTCCCACAACAATATATATTGACGTGTGATGCTATGAATTCAGCCCGAGGCTCAAGAAGCATTCTCAGATTAATAGCAATAACCTCAGGTAGCGTGGCAGAACATATGTAAATCATTAATAGTGTGGTGGTGTAACAAAAGACAGCATTCAACTTAACAATACAATTTATTTAACAAGTACTAACTACTACAACAAGAAAAATATCAATGACGTTACTTGAAATCCTTACTGTGACACCTTTACAATAGCTAGACACCAGCCCCAAGTATAACCACAGGATCCTACCTGTAATCACGTTGTGCTGGATAAATGAACTTGAACAGTACTGAGTGGCCACAGAGGATGCAATCAAGCAGTAAGATACTAAGTCTATAATCACAAATTGCAACAACAACAAGGTAGGTTAGGAGACAAGTCTAACAATGACAAGACAAAGACAAGAGACAAGACAAGTAAATGAACAAATCCACAAGGGCCGTGACGAGGATTCGAACCTACGTCCGAGAGGATCCCAGACTCTGCCTTACGTCTGATGCTGCCTTACGTCTTACATTTGATGCATCACGCTTTTGTGATTTCTGTGTGTAAGTCTCCAGTAACCTCCTATCAGTTACTTTACGCTCTTTGCAGCCCCCCCCCCTTCCCCTACAACGCAGTTGCAATGCAATCAAACTAATAACCTTCAATGATACAACAAAGACTAGTGGTGTTACTGGCATGTTCAGCAACCCTTCCTATTAGATTCTTACGTTAACATTTCGTCTCTTGGACGGTCAACAATCAATGACTAATTGATTACGTTAATACTAATAGTGACAATTACGTTAATTCACTGCCAACAGCAGTCAGCAACAACTCTTACGTTAACTTAATCTTGTCTCCTACAGACAGGTCAACTGTCCCAACTCGTAAATCAGAATTTACACAGACACTTGACCCGTCAAGCATTCAGTGAGTAATCCCCTAAATTACTGTACTACGGACAGCTAATTAATCCCAGCAAGAGTTACGTTATCGGATATTATCTCCCACTCGATAGTTTACTATAATTCTATATCCAAAGTACTTTGAGGATTGCAATTACCCTTAACCGCCTTGAACAATTAATTACTATCTCACAGATCGATAATTAATCATATACGAATACGTTATTCTCAACACTGGCTCAACAGTTATAACATCAGTGAAGTGAATTTCCTCTGGGGTACTATTATACCCCAATTAACACAGGTGACTGGTTAAATATCCCACAGACCGATAACTAATCACTACGTCTACGTATCTTATTAATGACTTTACTCTCCAAAAAGTCAATCAATATTATCTCTCCTGACAGATACTTAATAACAGACGTTACGTTAATGCAAACAATGTAGTCTTCGTGTGAGTCGATCAAACCATGATTGGAGTTAACTACTGTGACTTCCATGAACCCTTAATTACCTGTCCAACTGACAGATAATTTGCAACATGCAGTTACTTAATGTAAGCCTTCCGCCCTCCCGGAATTCCTACACCACTGTCTGACTTCACCTCAAGTGGCTGATTGGACCCAATTCTTTGACCGACCAATCAGCCGTCCCATGGAAAGATAATTAACGAAAACAAATCTAGATGTGAGATTTGTTCTACGCCTACCTCCATTAGGAGGTGGACCTCAAGCATAAAGAACTGCACACGGCAGATATTTCTACTCTAGGCAGGAGGCTAATAGAAAAAGGGAAAGTGGGAGCAAACCGCCAGGCCTCCACCACCAGGGGTGAAAACCTGTCCACAATAGGCCGCTGGCTCCTCCTAGTTAAACAGGACGTTAAAACCAATAAAGGGTAACCAACGGGTTCTCACAATCAAATAATTGTATTTGATGTGGCGCTATGAATTGGAATTCGAATTCCCAAGAACAGCCGTCATTAAAAGAATGATCACATTGCACAATCTTATACAGCAGAACATGGGTGGAAAAGAATGGTTGAAGGGTTGACATCAAAGACCGTTTTCTATAAAATATATTAAACAAGAGACTAAACTACTACAACATCGAGTTAACGTTACGTTAATGACCATCCAGTGGCACTATAACAAACAGCTACAATAGCAATGACTCCGGTCCATTGCTGTGCGGCTGCACACTGACCTAACCTGAACACAGGTGTGCACACTGACCTGACCTGAACACAAGTGTGCCCACTGACCTGACCTGAACACAGGTGTGCCCACTGACCTAACCTGAACACAGGTGTGCCCACTGACCACGCAATATTGCAAACTAAAAAATATTCACAAGCCTAAGTTACACCACAGTGAGTGACTCGTTACGTTAATGTCCATCCAGTGGCACTTGCAACACAGCTGTTCAACAGCCCCTCGAGAAATGACAGCAGTCTCCATCTTGCTGACACTTCGGGCTGAGTACATGAACTAACTGAACAATGATGCCCACTGATGACACAAGCTTGCAATCAATATTGTCACGGCTTCACGGTGACCAGATACTATAATCACAGTCTTACGGGTCCTCCAACCATAACAGGCGAGACCCCCGTAACTAGGCGAGTAGTCCAACAGTGACTCCCCCTATCACAACCTAATGTGAACACTCTTTGCAACTCCCTGCAAGAAGTTGCACTGTAAACAGTAAACAAAGTCAGGCAAGGTGGGATTCTGAGACACAGCTCCAGTAATCCCCAAATTACTTTACTCTCGTCACCAGACGATAAACAAACGAAATTGTCTTAATCAATTACAAGATTGATTGTGTGATTAATTACGTTAATTGACTGATCACAGCAGTCAGCAACAAAGTACTTCTACGTTAATCATCAACACTTGTCTCTCTTAACACAAGTCATCTTGTTAACAATAACTCAAAGTCTCTTACATTACATCACACTTGACTCCTTGCAAGCAGTCAGTGAGTAATTCCTAATTAATGTCAAACTGACAACTAATTAAATCCCAATCGAGTTACGTTAACTAAGCCTACCACTAACTTGGTAGCTTCTCAACAGTCTATGTCAAAATTTACTTTAATGAGTGTCAATTACCCTAATTAACTCCGAGCAATTAATTAACTGTCACCAGGACCGATAATTAATCATACATAAATACGTCTCACTCCGCACTGCCTAAGCAGGTCTCATCAAACACTGTGAATTCATGGACGAGGTGCTAATTACTCCACTAATTAACAAGAGTGCATCTTAATCCACTGTCATCAGACAGGATATGATTAATATAACGAGTTATGCTGGCTCCATGACCTCGCTTTACCGAGTCATCAAGAACTTCGACGTTAATTACTCCACTAATTAACATGAGCCACTAATCGCTATACCCCAGAAAGGTAATTAGTCTCAAGCAAATTACGTTAACACAAATACTGACAGACTCTGACAGTTCCTCCCACTATGTGAACTCATGAAGAATGCTAATTACATAATTAGCTAGAGTGGTCAATTAGTTGTCACACGGACAATTCATTGCACCTGAAACGTATCTCAACAAGCTCAACACTGTTCCCCTTAACAGCCCTCACACTCATCAAGTAATGTGCAACCCCTTATAAAGTTAATTCCCCTTAATTAACTCTCACTGATTCCTTAAGTCATCAACACAACTTAAAGAATACAAAGTAACCCCAGGTTACATAGGTCACACTTACAGTGGATAGCAACATAAATGAACAGCCCACATACGGCTGCAGCTTCTGCAACACGTAAATTACTGTACCCACACAGTAACGACACATGGTTTGGCAACAACAAAGGTAAATCTACATTACTGCCCCTCTAATCTTGCAACAGTTGCAAGAGACTATTGTGTGCAATCACTACTTCAGCAAAACAATTTGCGTTAAAATGAAACACCGTCGCTACGCGGACAGCTGGCACTAATTCTCATAATTAGGCTATAACTAATCAATTGCTTGCTCTCATTATGTACTGTGAATTCCCCTGAATAATGAAAGGGACCTCCTTACATCAACAACACAGCTCCTAGGGCTGTAATATAACGTATACCTGAAACAACACTGCCCAAACCTGCAACATAATGATGCCGTCAGCATACCCCCACATGCAAATGACATCATTAGGCAATCAGTCAGCAATCACATTTACTGACTCACCACACAACACCGTGTAATACATGCAAATGAAAACACATGGAAATGGCATTCACTTAATCAATGAAAATTGTA